GAACAGATACCTCAGGGCCATCCTACAGGGACAGGAATGTGGTGAGAAAGCCACCAGAAGTCAAGAGCACTGGAAGGTGCAGAAGGCAGGACAGAGTGGGGACAGGAAGCCAGAACCCCTCATGAGACCAGCCGGGGAGTGAGGGCCGGAGGGCAGCCCCGTCCATGCTTACCCTCTGCAGGGTAAAGTGCTGCTGGTCACTCTCAAGCGGCAGGTCATCACCCACAAACTGCAGCTCTAGGGCCACATGGGGGAGCAGGACCAGGAGCTCCTGAAGGTCAGGGAAAAGAGCAGGTCCCACCTGGGTCCCACCCTGTGTCCACCCTCACCCCATGCCCATTCTCCGGGTCTGGACTCACCCAAAACACCATGACAAGGTCAAACTCCTTCCCGGCCTCTACCACGTGGATCTTCAGGGACTGCTTGTTCTGGATGTTGAGCTCGGGGACTGGCAAGAAGCCGGGTCTTTAAGATTACGGTGCCCTTGCCCCACCCCCCCGCATCCCCCCGTTAAGCCCTATATTCCTTACAGGACTGGGGCACCAGGTGCGTGATGACGTAGTACACAGTCAGCGGGTAGGTGAGCAGCACAGCCAAGGGGGAGTCGAGGCTGAGGCCTCGCCAGGTGTAGTAATCCTGCCATGAGCCTGGTGAGAGTGGGTTACTGGGGAGCTCAGGCCCCAGGCCTGGACCCCACTCTATCTGGTCTAATGGCCTCCCCTTTTTCAGCCATTGAGGATTGTAGCCCTGCAGTCCCTGTCCTGACTCCTGTCTCCCTCAGGGTCCCTCCAGCTCACCAAAGGGGCCCCTGGGTGGGTCTGAGGGCACTGGAGGCATCAGGGCAGGACCATCCCCCTGGAGGAGTTGGTACGGATCTCCTGAGGGGTTGAAAGAGAGAAGGACTCCATGTTAGGAAACTCCCACCCAGCCGGCTTCTCTCTCCCTCCTGCAGGAGCTGTGTTTCCCGAGAGGGCTGGGAGTGCAGGAGAAGGCGTGGGGGCTTGCCTGTGACCAGCACTCCTGGATGGGAAGGTACAAGTGACTTCTTTGAGGAAATCTTGTAATGGCCTTGATGGTGTTTGCAGGGTTTGGCTTGTCTATGGAGGGGTCATCCGGGACATGGACAGCTTCCCCCCCCCATCCTTCCCTTCAGGCCAAAGGGTCCGTGTCTAAAAGAAAAGGCTTACATACCATTGAGAAGGCTGAGGGATGGCACGCTGCCCCGGGGGGTCCTGGGGGTGCCAGGCCCTGGAATCAGCATGCTAAGCTGGGTCCAGTAGCCACGAGTGAGGCCTCGAGAAGCCAGGAAGGCCTCCTTGTTAAAGGTTTCACTGGTCACTTCTGGAGAAGGAGGGGGGCATTGAGGGCTGTGTGGCTAGGCCAAAGATTTCCTTCCCTTAGCCTCCCCAAGGCCCTGTGACTACGCCTGGGTCTTGTCAGAGGAACTACCATTTTTGGGTGTCTACAGGCTCATATGACCATTGTAACAAGTTTACACTTGTTAGTGCCCCCAGCCACACTTCTTTAAACAGCTGAGGATCCAAGCAGTAAAATGATTGATATGTTAGAGAGCCAGGAAACATCTGAATCCCGAGCTCAAGTACCTAAGTGCTCTTAGCAATCCAGCTCTCTGAGTGGGGTGGAGATGGCATCAGTCTGAGGTGCTTGGGAGCCCAGGCCCCAGACACTTAGGGAAACCCAGGCACCCAGTCTTCCACTTCAGAGACCCTGTCTCCAGCCTCAGAGCTGGGTCTAATTTCCGTTCCAAACACCCAGGACAAAACCCTAATTCCGGGAATTGGAGTCTAATTCCAGACTCCTGCCCAGGACGTTGTTCCCAGGAACCCAAACCCCCGTCATTAAGACCCCCAGGGGCCCCTCACTCCGACCTGCTTTGTTCGGATACCTGCAGTGTAGGTAAAAGGCAGAGTTGCCAGTTCCCCTGCCCGCTCCATGAAAGCTGCAAGCTTTGGGCACCAAAATCGGTGGCTCACATCATCTGGGCATCGCCGCCAGTCGGTCCGGAGACAGGCCTCTCCACAGTACAGGACGGCACCGCACTGGGGGCTGGGGGCACGGAGTGTTAGCTCTGTGGGGCTGCTGGCTGTCCACCTGCCTCGCAGCTACCGTCTGTCTGTCGCTGGGCCTGTTTGTTTTACACTCTGGAACGGCTGTGATAGCTTGTGTGTTGCTTCTTCCCCAGTCATCTCACTCCCTTTGCCCCCCATCCTCTGTCTGCAGGGTCTCCCCCTGTCCTGGCTTGCCTTTGCTCTGTTTGCCTGACTATAGGGATCTTCCTGTGGCCACATCTTTGTGGAGTGCTTACCAGGGTGTCAGCTTCACTTCAAAGCTGTGCCTGTGACACACATGGCAGGTTCGAGCTCGAAGAGAGGCAAAAGTGAAGCCTGGCCGGGGACCCCATGTGCGCATTGGGGTCTTTGTTAACTTCACTTTCACTCTTGAAACCAGGCTCTCCAGCTCTCTGAATGGGGGTGCAGATGCATCGGTCTGAGGTGCTTGGGAGTCCAGGCCCCAGGTCTCCCCACCCTCTGACACCAGGATTTTTGTACCGATGCAGCTGGACATCTCCCACGGTGAGCTGTCGGGGCTTTCGGGGGTCCCCGGAGCCCATGGGGCAGGCCATGCTGTGGCAGAGGAGGATGTAGGCCCTCGGAGCCAGGCTCTTAGTTCCTGAGCCCAGGTCTGCACTTCCTGGGGCTCTGTCCATTAGTAGGTCAATGCCCAAGATGGTGCCATATTCATCTGTCACCAGCAGGAGGCAGGAAAGGTGCAAGGGGCCGGCTTCTGGTGGGGAGAGAGCGGAGGCTAAGGGATTGGAGCACCCAACTGGGGTGAGCTCCTACAGGTGACGGCAAGTGAGTAGAGGTCCAGGAGGAGGGGCGCCCCCGTGCGGCTGGGCGGTGCCACAGTCTGGTGCGCGAAGAGACGTAGATGAGATTTTAGGGTTTTAGATTTTTCCTGAGAGCGTGTAATAACCCAGACTTCTGGATTTTTCTTTCTTCCTCAACCTACCTTCTTCCTTCCTTCCTTTATTCCTTTCTTCTGTGGTACTGAAGACTGAATCCAGAGCCTTCACACTGAGCTACATTCCCAGTCGTTATTTATGTATTTATTCTTTTTTTTTTTCTGGTTTGGTTTGGTTTTGCTTTTGTTTTTTGAGACACGGTCTCACTTTGAAGTGCAGGCCGGTCTTGAACTCACTGTATAGCCCACATTGGTCTTGAGTGTGTAACAATCCTCCTCAGACTTCCCAGTGCTGGGATTACAATCATGCTTCACTCCATGGGACTATTTATTTACTGAGAGTCAGTAAGCTAATAAATTGCCCAGGGTGGCCCAAAACTGTGACTCTCTTGCCTTCGATTTCCAGAATGTTGGTAGTATAGGTGTATGCTACCATGCTTAGCTTTCTTTGAATGTTTAAACATTGACTCAACTAAAAAAACAATCACTGAACCAGATGTGGTGATGCATACCTGTAATACCAGCAGTCAGGAGGCTGAGTCAGTAGGATCACCTTGAATTTAAGGTCAGCCTGAGCTACATAGGAAGACCCTGTCTCAGATAACACACAGCCCTCCAGAATATCCCCCAACCCCAAAACAGTCGATGAAAACATCTTTTTGAGTCAGGCTGGCCTGAAATCTAGCAACCTGTGACTCTTGGGTGGGTTCTGAGTAGCCAGGGAGGCTTCAGGAAGGGAGGATGGCTGGGCTGGGGCACGGGCAGAGCCCACCGCGCATTCTCACCGCTCCTCCGCCCCTTCCTCTTCTCCAGCGCTGCCGCTGCCGTGTGGCTCTCCGCTCTGTTCTCCGGGCACACGTCCTCGCCACCTGCTTCTTGCTCGGTCTCCCCCGGCTCTAGTGGGGGCTTTGCATCCGGGGGTGATTCCCTGCTGGAAGGGGCTGGCTCCCCATCCTCCTGTGGCTCACCCTTCTCTGTCCTCGGTGGTGTCTCCCCTGCGTTCTCTCTTTCGTCTTCCTCCTCCTGCTCGCCTTCCTCCCCATCCTCCAAGCTGACAAAGCTGACATAGGGGCTCAGGTCCCGGAGGTGGAGCGGAGGCTCATCTCCCAGAAGCCTGGCGGCCCCCAGGCCGGACCCAGGCCCTGGCTCTGCCCCTTGCCCCAGGCTGACGCCCACACTATTGTTGGGCAGGACATGCAGCACCCACAGGGCTGGGTCTTGGGGCAGCCTTTTGATCTGAGCTTCCATCTGTCGCCAACGGCCCTCAAGGCTGGCCCCCACTGGCCCCCGCTCTGCCACAAACTTGTGGAACCAGCCAAAGAGGAGAGCGGCAAAATCAAGGAACTCGTCCCGGTATCCAGACACAAACTCCATGTCTTCAGGGGCGCAGGGTCGGGGCCCAGACTGAGCAGAGGAAGGGACACACAGTGAGGGGCAGGTGGTGGTGAGAAGGGTTAGGGCTGGGTCACTAAATAGGGAGGGTGTGGGTCACCTAGGTGGGCTACAGACGGGTACTGGAGGCTAAGAAGTGGGTTTTCAGAGCGGAACGTGGGAGATGGGGAGAACAGAGCTGGGTTGGAGAGTGAGCAATCAGGGTTGAAGAGAAGTATTCAGGGATGAAATGATAGATCTGGGCTCAAAACGTGTGGACCCAAGCCCCACAAAAGAAGGGTCTGACCTAAGGGTATTGCTGAAATAGGGTTGATCCTGGGGAGAAGGGGATGTGAAGTTTGGACCTGGGTCTGCGGGGTACGGGAAGAGGGAACAGGGGCTGGGGCATCCCTTAGCTTGGGCCTCTTTGGGGTGAACCGCAGGAGACCGCACCCCTCCCGGGCGCCGCGCTGCTCCGGTACCTGCAGCCGCCGCCACTTTCAAAGGTAAATACCTCGGGGGCGTCCGTGACGTCAGGGCCCCCCCGAGCCCGGCTCCCGACGGCCCCGCCCCGCGGAGGTGCGGCCACGGCCCGTGGGGGTTGGCCACGCCCCGCGGCGGGACGGGAGCCGGGCTGGGCGTGCATGGCCGGCGCGGGCTCCCCACCGCGGCCGTGTGACTGCGCCCCGCCGCCGTCGCGGAGCCGCGCGGGGAGCTCCGGGGGCGTCCGGCCGGCCCTGCCTCTCCCGGGCCGGTGGGCGGAGCGCGGCGTGGGCTGCACCCCAGCCGCCCGCCCCCCGCGCGTCCGCCCGCGCGTCTCGCCCCGACTCTTCCTCGCAGCCGGACTTTCCTTTCGGGTTGCGGGACATCCTCGGCCACTCCTCGCCGCGTCTCCGGCCAAGGAGCTCCGCCCGCGGGGCTCTGCCGGCCGCGGGAGGCGGCGCGGGCCGGCGGTTCGGTTCGGTTCCGATGGCGCGGGCGCGGGGCTGGGGGAAGGCGTCGCCGCGCGCCCGCCTCGCAGCGCCCCCCGCGGACCTCGACGGAAGCGGGAGCCCCTGAGGAGCCGCGCGCCCGGCCGGAGCCGGCTCGGGACCGGGCGAGGCGGCCCGGAGATGGGGCGCGGAGGGGCGCTCTGGCCCCGCGCCTGGCTGCTTCTGCTGGCGCTGCTGGCCCTGCCAGGTGGGACGGGGCGCAGGGGGCGCGCGGGGCGCGGGGGGCGTGGGGGGGCGCGCGGGGCGCGGGGGGGGGCGCTCGGGGCCGGGGGGCGCGGGGGGGCGCTCGGGGCCGGGGGGCGCAGGGGGCGCGCGGGGCCGGGGGGCGCGGGGGGCGTGGGGGGGGCGCTCGGGGCCGGGGGGCGCAGGGGGCGCGCGGGGCGCGGGGGGCGCGCGGGGCCGGGGGGCGCGGGGGGGCGCTCGGGTCCGGGGGGCGTGCGGGGGGGCACTCGGGGCCGGGGGGCGCGGGGGGCGCGCGGGCGAGAGCTGGCCGCCTGGGTCGGGGGCGGACACTGAGTCACTTGGGTCCAGGCTGGGGTGTGGACTGCGGGGTGATGTGGGGTTGGGCCGTGTGTGGGACCCCGGGACCCAGGAAAGGCGCTGCCCCGTGGGGGTGCCTTGGAGGGAAAGAAGCGCTGTGCTGACCGCGGCTGTCCGCTTCAGGGGACGGCAACGAGGGCAGCATCGCTGGAAGCTGTCACTGCGATAAAACAGTCTCTTCTGACCTCGTCACGGCCCAGCTCGTGACACACGTCCGAAAATACGTGAAAGGCTACCAACTGTGCGCACCGCTCACCTACAGGTAGTGTCCGGCTCCTTCCCGGGAGCGCCAGGCCTCCAGCTCCCCAAACTCGGGGGTGGGGTGGGGGTGCGGGCCTGGCGGCTGTCCGGGTTCTCGGACTCTCCTTTCTGTTTCACTTACCTGGGAGTTTCCCGGCTCCTCCGCACAAGACTTTCTCGGAGTGACTTCACCCTCTGGAGGAGGAAAGCTGGGCGCGGGAAGCTGGCCGAGGAGCTGAGACCTGCTTTTCCCTCTCTAGGTTCCAGCTTTATTCGCAGAGCGTGTGCGGGGGCAGCCGGGACCAGTGGGTCCTGGAGGTGGTGAGCTGCTTGGACCGCGGAGGTGAGAGCTTTTCTTTTTCTTCTCCTCGGCCCTCGCTCAAAGACGCGGTGGCCTCCACCTTACAGTTTCCTTTGCCTTTACCCTTGACACCCCGTGTTCCTAGAACCTTCTGATTACTTGTACTTAAGTCTCTAACAATTGTCGTGTACTCTCTACTTTCATGACTTATGTGGATTTATTCTGCCACACGTAACATTGTTTTCTTAATATTTTCAAGTCACTATATATATACATCAGTGTATCAGTAGTAGAGGTGCTTTGCACTGAGCCCCCCACTTCCCTTCACCGTATTGATTCCATGGAGCATTACCACATGCCAAACACTGTTGTATTGTAGTGACCTCTCTCCCTGCCACGGAGACAAGATCTCGCTTTGTAGGGCAGGCTAGCCTTGAATTTTATCCTCCTGCCTCAGCCTCCCAAATGCTGGGATTATAGGTGTGATCACTTGCAAATATTATACTGTATTTTTTTGTGGTTTTGGGGATTGAACCCTGTACCTTCACACTGAACTCCTCAGTGCCCCTCTGCCTTAATTGTTTTTTCTAAACTTGGAGTTAGGATCTAACTAAGGCACTGAATTGTTCAGGCTGGGCTAGAACTTACAATTCTCCTGCTATAGCCTCCCAGAGTGCTGGGATTACAGACATGTGCCGTCATCTCTGGATTAAAGTACACATGTTATGTAGAATATAATCTCTATTAGGTTTTTCTTGAAATCACATGAAGGCAATATTTTAATTTTCCAATATTTATGAAAATTTAGACATTATAAGAAAAATTGTACAATGAACAACTGTATTCTCCCACCTAGATTCTGTAATATTTGATTGCATCTCTAGCCTTCATCATTCCACTGTATTTTTGATATATTTCAATATAATTTGCAGACATTCTTATATTTCATCCTAAAACATTTCAGCATGGATGTTGAGTTCAGTATTTTTTCTTTTGAAGGAAAACCTACATACAATAAGTAAGTTTTAAATTTTCACAAGCTAGTTTTGCAAAATTATTTCCCACTTGCCTTAATAACATTTGTAAAGCCACAAATCTGATGAACAAGTTATTAAGATATATAAAGTATCCTTCAAAATCCTGCTTAAAATACAAAGTCTTTGATGTTCGCATGTAGTGTCCATGCCTTTCATGCTGCACTGACTGACCCATGCATGCTATTTCCTTTAACCCTCCCAGCCAGTCTTTTGCCCCTTGGTATTATGAGTATCCTCACTGGACAGAAAGAAATAAGCCCCAGGAGAGCCAAGGTCTCACAGTTACTGTGTAGCACAGCCGGTGTCCACCCCAAGCCCCTGACTCTCCAGGGCAGAACCTGGCTCTGCCCAGTGGCTGCCCCTGTGGTGCGCTCAGCTCCCTGTCTCCCCCGCTACTGCTGCCCCCTTTCCTGGCCTTCAGTGGTCCCCGTGATGTGTCCTCTGCTGGGGCTCAGAACACAGTACTCCAAAATATGGCACTGTAGCAATTAAGAAAACCCATGAAGCAAGGTGCCTTTGACTGTTCCCCGCCTTGCTGTGTGACAGTAGGCATTAAGGGGTCTGCCCTAGACTTGGAGATCAAGAAGAATCTGAATGGCAGGTCTCCCCATTCCCTTTCCCTGTTTATTACCCCTAGATTACTTTTTTTTTTTTTTTAAAGACAGGGTCTTGTTACGTAGTCCAGGCTAGCCTTGAACTTACTATTACTATGTAGCCCAGGCTGGATGGAACTCATGGCAATCCTCTGCTTCAATCTCTTTGAGTGCTGGGATTACAGGCATACATCATCATGCCCAGTTTAGATTATTACACCTTTTTTATCTAATCACATTTCTATACAGCTATCTATTCTTTGTTTTTTTTTTTTTGTTTTGTTTTGTTTTTTTTGTACCAGGGATTGAACTCATGACCTCCTGCTTGCAGGGCAGGCGCTTATACCACTGAGCTAAACCCCCAGCCCTTATTGTTTTTGAAACACAGTCATGCTATATAGTGCAGGCTGGCCTTGAACTCACTGTGTAGCCCAGGCTGGCCTCAAACTCACAGTTCAAGTGCTGCTGAATGCTGGGATTATAGGCAGACACATGCTGCAGTGCCTGATCTTTTTTTGAGAGAGAGAAAGATTTACTATGTCCTGGCTGGCCTCCAACTCCTGGCTTAGCCTCTCAAGTACTAGGATTCTAGGCATGTGCCTCATGCTTGGTTCTAAAGCTGTCCATTTTTCAGCAATTCTAAGCACAAAAATAGTTTTCTTTGGATCTTCTTTCTGAAGCCTACCATGTCTTGTGAAATTTTGATTAAATACATTTGTTATGCTTTTTTCTTTTTTATCAGTACTGGGGATCGAACTCACGACTGCTTGCAAGGCAGACACTTAAGCCGCTGAGCTAAATCCTCAGCCCCTGTTATGCTTTTTTCTTAACTTGTGTTTTGTTATATGGATGTCGGCCATGAACCTTGTGACAGATGAGGAAAAGATACCAGTTTTTCTCACTTAGATCTCTGTCTGCTTCTTTACCTATTCCAATAGTCCTAGTTCCTTGCTTTATCTTCTCCAGAGTGTGGACATGCTTATCGGAAGAATCCGGTCCATCAGAAGATTTTTGCTTCCCCTGGCACTCCGATTCCTAGGCCCACAGAGGGGCACTCTCCAGAAAGCAGCACTCCTGCCCAGAAGTACCCGCCATCTGCCTTGCAGTCCATAACAAAGCCTACCCTTCTTCCAGGAACACACTCCTTGGATACAAGGCTCACTCACCTCAGTGAAACCAGCACTCCCATGGTGGGCTATGGTCTGGAGGCGGGGCATAGGGCTATGGAAAACCAGCAAGGTGCTATTGGGAGTGCATCAGCAGTGGTGTCAGTGGTGCTAGGGGCGACAGTGGTCATTGCCATTGGAGTCTTCTTCTGCATACGCCGCCAAAGGAGGACGCGACAACTGCAGCAGTACACTCCAGGTGTCATAGCTTGAGCCTAGATGTACCTCCAAAGCCTCATGTAGTCTTAACTAGGGCTCTTGGAGGTGGCTGGAGCTAGGATGTGTGATGCTAGGATCCCAGGTGTGAGTGACACCTGTGCTAATGGTGAGTGGCCAGGATAGGGTCTAAGGGACAGAAAGAGGGTTGCTGTAGTCACTGCTTGTCACTTGCTGCTTGCTGTTTCACGATTGCTGCCGTCATGTGAGCTGAAATAAAGTTTTCCTACTTTACCTTTAAGTGCTGGGTATTTTGTCTCAGCAATGAGAAAAGTAACTAAGACACTAGGTAATCCCTTGTCCAGGGACTCAGTAGCTTCCTTGAAGGGATATTACTGACTGCCCTCTTAGTCTCCTCTTTTAAAAACATGCAATACTGTCAGGTGTGGTGGTTTACACCTGTAATCCCAACACTTGGGAGGCTGAGGCAGGAGGATCACTACACCAGCTCACCTTCCCAGGCCCACACTCCAGAGCTGGGCTTCCCCACCCTCCTGAGTAGTTGCTGAGCTGATGTACAGGCTGGACTTATTTCCTCAATTCCTTGCATCACTCATATATGCAAGGCCTGATTTTTAAAAATTGTTATTGCTTTTATTAAAAATCTTAGTTTATGTTTTGGCTCTTTCAATAAGGAAGAATGTTTTTTTTTTTTTTTTTTTTTTTTTTTTGAGAGGGGTCTCACTATGCAGTCCAGGCTGGCCTTGAGCTCACTTTGTAGCCCAGGCTGGTCTTGAACTCACAACAATCCTCCCACCTCAGCTTCCTGAGTGCTGGGATTACAGTCATGAGCCACCACACCCGATAGAAGAATGTATGTTTATTGGAAAAAGTTTTCGGAAGGGCCAAGAAAGGACAGGGTACGTGTTAGGAGTGATGATGGTCATGGGTCGGGTAACTGGGTGTCCAGTGCTTGTCTGCGCTTGTGAAGTGTGCACCACCAGCACCCTGCTGAAGGAGCCAGGGCTCGGGGGGGGGGGGGGGGGACAGGCTCCGATTTGTTTCTCCATTGTCATCTTTGCCCCTTTGTTCAAGTTGACTCTGAACAGCAGGGCACGTATGTGTCAGTCCACACACCCCACTCTACAGGTCTCTAGATTCTATCCCAGCTGTGGGTCATGATCTCCCACCAATCTCTGGGTCCACTGCTGTGGCTTAGCTCCCCAGCATCTGCTCGCAGGTTCGGGCAACGTCGCTGAGCTTGAGGCGGGCATAGTCCACTCGCTTCAGAGCCATCTGACAGTCCTTCCGTGAAGAGTAGCTGGAGCCCTCATGCGGCTGCCCTGTGGCCACCTACAGGACAGTGAGACTGATGAATGGAGCACTATCTCCCGTGTCCACCCCCCAACTAGCATCAGGTCTCTTGTGTCATTTCTCCCCTCAGGTCGATCTGTTAAGCTGCCCAGAAGCTCTGTGACCTCAAGCAAATCACTTAACTTTTGTTAACTTCATCTGTGAAATGGAGGTGACCATAACTACTTCCCTGAGTTGTAGGATTAGACTGGGTAATACGGAGTGCAAAGCACACAGTCAACTATGGTGAACAGTGGTAGCCATCCTAATTAAGGCCTTGGGGGCCTTTTTGATCCTTCTCCTTTTTCCAGACCGAAGCATCTGAGGCCTCCTGCCTAGAGGTCAGTCCAAGTTTGTGGCTTTAGTATTGCTTACATGCCAACCCTCAGGCACTTCCCCACCCTGTGCCTCGGGTCTAGCACGAGGTGGCTAGGAATGTTTTTCCTTTTAGCCCTGGAAGGAAAGGGTCCATGTGGTGGAGGTGGTGGCAAGCTGCAAAGCTTGATCTGATTTTGTTCAGTAAATGCTTCGCGGGGTGCGCGTTACCCCTAATGCTAAGGCCGAGACCGAGATGGGCCTGCAGCGTCTCCGGACACACTGACCTGAGTGAGGTAACGGATCTGAGCCGACAGCTCCGCCTCCACGTGCTGCACTGAGGCGGTGAAGGCCGCCGCCTGCCGGTCTAGGAGTCGCTCGTTGGTTTTTTCCTTGGACAGCTCCAGGATCACAGTCCCTGCGGGGGACGAGAGGGGCGGGGTTACCCAGAGACTGACAGTCGTGCCCTGGCCCGAGGCCCGCCGCTCCCTGCCCGTCTTTTGCTGCACATGCGCTTCACATCCCACCCGACCGTGCGCCGCGTCTCGGCTCGACTCGCTTTCGCTCCATGTAGCCGGCTCGCCGCGCCCCGAACCTGCATTCTGGAGGATGGCGCCGATTTCCCTTTCGATGTCTTCTAGGGCGCGTAGTCGCTCATTCGCCAGGCTGTAGGTGGCCATTGTGCCTCTGAGAAACTTAAGAGATATTCTTCTGATGAGCGCGACTTGTGTCTCGGAAAGTTGTCACTTTGCGCCTGCGTAAAAGGTACACTACAACTCCCAGAATGCTCAGCACGGCCTCGCCCTTTTTGGTCCCCTTGGAGAACTACAACTCCCAAGGAGTCGTGCGCCTGGCCTCTGCGCCGCCACCACGCGACTGCTTTGGGTAAGAAGGCGATATTGTCCTAGCTCCTGGCCTGAAGCTGTTCAGATTCACCTTGTAGACACTGTCTTGTGTATTTCATTTATTCAAGAAGAATTTAATAAGCGGGACGGTGGTGGTAGTCCTAGGGTATTCATCCAGCCGGGTAGCCACGGCCCTTGGTCTAACAGCCTTGCCCGAGGAAAGCTTGGCGGGGTGAGTGTTAATGTTACTCTCCTAGGGTCTCCCAGACCTTGAGCCTAGCTGGCCTCCAGACTGTCGGTGTGTTCTCGGACGCTGGCTCCTCCCAGCCTTTCCCCCTTTCCTTTAGGTGCTGGGTCCGAGGATATAAAGGTGAATGAGATGGGGACTTACGTGACCGTGGGAGAGATGTTTTGTCACAGATATGGCAAGGGCCGCTGAGAAAAGGTTTTTGGAGGAAGGGCTTATGGAACAGGCTCCAAAAGGGCTAACTTGAGGAATGAGAGGTTGGGGTGGAAACCAGAAACAGCAATACGCAAGAACATATTGCTGTGAGGGGGCCTGGCCCACGCGGAGTCCAGCAGGGTTCAGTGTGTGTGGAGTGAATGGGGTGTGGTGGTTGTGAGGTGTGACAGCGGTGAAATTGGAGGGGAGCTGGATCAGGAAAAAGCTTTGGACTTTGTACTGAAGACCTTTTGGGACCTTTGATGAATTTTCAGCAGCTGTGTTACAGCTAGATTACTTTAGTTTGAAAAATCATTGCCCCCGCCCCAGTATGGGAGCCTAGGGCCTTTGCACTGAGCTACATCACTAGTTTTAATTTTAATTTTTTATTTTGAGAGCTTGGCATGGTGGTGCACTCCTGTAACCCCAGCACTTAGTAGGCTGAGGCAGGAGGATGGCCATGAGTTCTAGGCCAGCTTGGACTTCATACTGAGTTGAAGGCCAGCCTGAACTACATAGGAGACCCTGTCTCAAAACAAAAGAAACAAAACAAAAAAAGTTATTTTGAGACAGGATCTCACTAGGTTGGTAAATTATCTAGGCTGGTCGCAAACCTCAGTTCTTTCTGCCTCAGCTTCCCAAATTGCTGGGCTTACAGGTGTGTAGCACCATGCCTAGCTGGAGAGATTGCTCTTGACAGTTTATAAGGAAACATCAAGAATGAAACCAGAGCCCAAGGCTGCAATCCCAGCTGCTTGGTAGGCTGAGGCAAGAGGATCACAATTGAGAGTCCAGTGTAGGCAAAATAAAAAATGAAACAAAGGAGTGTGGCTTAGTGATAAGAATGCTTGCTAGCATAGGTGAGGGCCTGGATTCAGTTCCTAGAACTGAAAAAGAAAATACTTAAGAGTGAGGAGTTAATACAAAGACTTCAGGTAGTCATTTGAGACAAGAGGCTAAATAGTAACTGAAGGAAGCTCAGAAAGCATTAGAGGTGTCACACACAACGTGAGTGAAAGAAATACTAAAATTACAAGGGTTATTTAAAGGAGTGAGACTGCCAGATCTCCTTGACTTCATATGTCTTGGCACCTGTTCTCTCTCCAATCTTTAGAGTTCTGGGAGTTTCTTTGTTGGAGAGGGAAAATAGTTTTTAGCTTGCAGGACACCTGGGCACAGTTGAACAAAAGACTACAGGGTGTGGTGGCGCATCTCTGTTACCCAGCACTCAAGAGGCTGAGGCAGGAGGATGGCCACAAGCTAGAGGCCAGCCTGGGCTACACAGTGAGGTCGAGGCCCACTTGGACTATATAGGGAGAACCTGATTCAAAAAACAGAAAACAAAAGAAGTACTGGATTGAAAACAGGTTAAGTGAAGGTTTATAAACTGAATACTGGTTTCTGCAACCCTGGCAAGTAGGCTTGTTCTTTCCAGGTGAGAGCCTGCCAGACCCTTCTCTGGAAAGTTTGCTTAGAGAAAAGACCTAACTAACATCCTGCACTTTCTACCAAAGCATGTAGCTAGGTCCCCCCATAGTGAAACTGGTAGTGGGTAAGTCTAATCTGTGTTCGTGGAACTTCTAGTCAGCTTCTTAGCACCTCTTTTTCTTTTGGTGATGGTGCTGGGGCTGGAATCCCGTAGTGCTATACCACTGAGCTACCTCACTTAAGTATGAACAGACAACAAAGGATTTCTAAGTTTTTGAAGAAACTTTCTAACATGAAAGCTAGAGACTAAAATACATGGGTGGGGAGAAAAACTTTTGGAATGCTTAGAGAAAACATTCTATAAAAAAAGATTCTTAGCGGTGTCTTCTCACTCCACGCTGCTGGACTGCAGAGCATGGTTTGAGAACAAGACCCTAAAGGGTGGCCTTGGTCGCTGGGTGATTTGTGGAGCAGTGGACAACCCACACTGGACTATTTACAAGAAAAAGTTAAGTTGACTGAGAAAAATGGGATCACTGCATTTTTAGCCTTCAACAAAGCTGGAGTATGAAATTCTGAACTGGAAAGCATCTCCCTGAGAATATGAACCCCATCTTCTAGTGTGGAGAGCAGACAAAGGTCCTTGGAACTGAGGAGGCTGAGGCAACAGGATTGCTTAAATTCAGGAGTTTGGGACTAGTCTGGGCAACATAGCAAGACCCCACCTTTTCTTAAAAAAAAAGTCTTGAGTGTCAGCTAGGATTACGTATCTCTACAGTATCTGTTCTTATCAGTTTAATATCTGATATGTTCTCTGTTCCAGAACAATATATTAAATGGGTTTTTGGAAATGGGAGACGGAGCAGGAGCTTGTCCTGTCTGCACATTGATCTGGGATTGCAGTAACTTCAGGAATGGTGTATCTCCTTGGGGAAAAAGATAAAGAAAGCGTACTTGAAAAATCGTACCATGGGAGAAGGAATGGAAAATCTACTGTGGATTGAAACAGAAATTGAGAAACTCCTCTAGCAGATGAAAAGACATACAAGAAAGAAAATGAGTCCAGGGCAGCTTAAATTCTAGGAGAGATCACAGAAAATATGAAGAGGGAAAAAGGGACTTGTGCTTCCAGATTAAAGGGCCCATTAAATGCCCAGAAAAATAGAGCTGTCCATTAGAACACTAGGCTCAGGGAAAAATGTCTTAGAAACTTCCAGAGAGAGAGAGAGAGCAGATCTCATACAATGGAAGTGATGGTGGGCTTTGTAAAGTAGCTCTCCACACTAGAAGATGGGGTTCATATTCTCAGGGAGATGCTTTCCAGTTCAGAATTTCATACTCCAGCTTTGTTGAAGGCTAAAAATGCAGTGATCCCATTTTTCTCAGTCAACTTAACTTTTTCTTGTAAATAGTCCAGTGTGGGTTGTCCACTGCTCCACAAATCACCCAGCGACCAAGGCCACCCTTTAGGGTCTTGTTCTCAAACCATGCTCTGCAGTCCAGCAGCGTGGAGTGAGAAGACACCGCTAAGAAACGCAGAATTGCCCTCCCTCTGCTGACCTGCTGCCTGCGGCATCAGGGTTGATGTTTTCAGATTCTCCAGATGATTTAGACATGCAGGTCATTTGAGAAGCTGCTGTCAGGTGTCCTCTGCATTGTCAGAGCTGAGGGACTTCCATCCCGGGGTTGCAGCTGACAGGAGGAGGAGCAAGACGTGGAGGAGCAACTTGTCGTGGGGCTCTGCCTAGGAAGTAGCCTGGACCTTTTTACAAAAGCACATTCCGTTGGAGGAAACTTGGTCTTATGGTCTCATCTATTCTGGGGCTCTGGGCCAACTACACACCATGGAAGAGTATATATTTTTAGGAGATAATGTGTCAAGAAGCTCATAAAGCCAAACTCTGGATTATAGAGGAAGAATAAAGATATTTTGATATGTACAAGCTCTCAAGATTTGTCTTCTATGAATTCCATTTCTCAGGAAGGTATTAGACCAGAAGAGGAAGGTATTGTGTCCAGGAACTTAGACCTTAACCCACTGAAAGGTAACTGGTGTGGCTAAAGGAATTTTAGGGTGGCAGGTGCAAAGAACATTCGGTTCATTAGAAGGATCTGGACAGGTTTCTTCAGTGATGGGAAAGAGATGACCGAAATGCTTGGGATGATATGTAGACATTTGGAAGAGTGTAGGTTTGAATCCGGGATAACTTTAGAGACTAAAACATTTTTTAAGTTGCAGTTATTCAGGAAAAGCTAAGTTGACTAAGATGAGAAAGGTAATCATAATACAGCACACAAAGCAACTAGAAACATGCTTTGCATAGGCATAATTAAGTACTCAATGTTGCTGTAACCGCAACTGATACAGTTCTCTTGGGAGAACAGAGGGTGGGGGAAAATGGGAAGTGTCACGTGGTGATCAGAGGGTGAAAGGGGCCTTGATCTTCGCCTTCTTGCTGGGAGGCCAGCTGATGATATTTAAAACAAAAATCAAGGAGCAAAATAAGCGTGCTTAGAGATGTGGAAGGAAGTGCCAACAAAAACATCCAAGGAGGTAAAAGTAATTTCTCAGAGGAGAAAGAGATCAGGGAAGGAAGGCCCTATTTTTATGGTAATAGGTCCTGTACTACTGACTCCGTAAATACGCATTACTTTGAAAGTAAAAAGTGAAAATAGTGAAAATCGAGACAGGACATAAGTGGAGATGTACTTCACTGAGAGAGGGACCTAAAAGTGGAGCAGGGTTATCCCCTTTGTTTTTTCCTGCCTCTTTTTTCTTAGAAGACACTTGTGTGAGTTTATTTACGTGGAGGAAGGCCCAGTGGAGAGCCAGGTTGCAGAGAAGGTGGGGTGTGATGAATCACAGTCTCGGGGGAGGTGGAGGGGAGTACCGGAAGCCCAGGTGGAGAGGTTAGCTTTGGCCTGGAGAAGCATGTTAGCCTGAGGATGGAGGAGGATTGGTGTAGATGTCAGTGTTTGTCAGGAGGAGGTGAGAAGCTGACACTTCGCCCCTCAGTCCCTAAGCTCTGTGAAAAGCTGAAGTCACTGTATGAGGAACGTGCACAATTAGTAG